TCTTTGTCCAGGTAATGTATTTGAATTTGTTTCCACCCATACAGCAACCTTTAATTGACAGTACAAACACTGACACTTGCTTTGACTACTTGTTATTATTGAGATAATAGTAAGAAGTGCCCACATTGTCAAGTATGCTGGAGACAATCACTTCAGCTGAGTTAGGAATTGTGGAATGTTCATAAGAATAACACAACACTTTCAAGTACAGTTGGGTGTAGGCTTATGAAATTTTACAAATTAAAGTAAGCATGGTATCTGTCAATTTCAGCCTCTAGATTGCTTACAAGGCATATAAAAGGTTTGTGCACACGCATCCCCCCACTCAAAGCAGTCATAGTGTGACGTAATGTGCGAGGCTCTACTGCTGAGCGGTAATTTAAAAACATTCTTTCAGCAACAAATAAAAGACAGTCCCTTAGCAAAAGATTAAAATATATATTGGAGTTTTAACTAATGGCTGACTAGACACATCACTACAATTCTTAAGTTTATTAAGCTTTTAGGGTCAAATTGTGTTTATCAATATGCCAAGTTTGCCTGAATACTAGGTATTCTGAGCATATAAAAAAACGATTAAATTAAATTCAGATGTCCTTGAAAACTTAAGCGTATATCCGTGGCATGGGATATTCTGTCTGTTCATTTTCAGCGCAGGATTCCATCGAAGAAGATAGAACCATTACTGAGCATCTTTTTATTAATAGTTTAAATTTAGAAAAGACACCTGAAAATACTGCGGAACCTAACAACAACAAAGACTAAATTTGTGCGTTTGGAAGTAAAACAAATGAAGAAGAACTGAATATGATACCGTAAGAAGGTCTGAAGTATGTAACTGGGTATGTTTGCCAGATTACGAAATAAATACCCTCACCTTGAAACTATGGACAATCCAGTTATCGGTACTGGAGAAAATTCAGAATGGATCAATTTGTTGAATCGAGGAAAGCTCATTTTCCCTAGCCCTTAGAGAAAAATTTTCCAAAATGTACATGGCTATTATTTCAAAAAAGGCTCGAACGTAATGACCGACATACATTTTGAGAAGAGATGTTTATTATGAAGAGAAGATTTTTCAAAAACCTGTTACTATGACCTGGATTAGAACTCGAACATACTTGAGAGTAAAAGATCTTAATAAAAAAATCAAGAGTAAATTTATAATAAACAAAAGAATTACCGTAAAAAAATGAAAAAGATTGTTACAGACAGGAGTCATGAAAATGTTGAATACATTTCTTGTTGTAAATAAAATCTTGTCAATTTATTTGTGCCTATTTTATTTTCTGCTAAGGATACTTAAATCAGAAGATTTTTAGGATATAAAACATAAAATGTAAGAGTTGCAAAAAGATATTATAATAAAAAGTATCTGAGGCAGCCATATTTACTGCTTTACTATTTTACGATAAAAAGATACTATCAAAGGTTTTAGACTAATACCATTGAATACATCAACATTATATATTCAAGGTTAATACGTAACAAATGCCGTTTGAAAATCTATTGAAAATTACAAGAAATTAGAAAACATATTGATTCGGTAAAATAAAACACGTTCAGCAAGCAGTTTGTGTGAGCGGCTCTGGCACGGTGGGGAGACTCGTACGTGACGTAGCTGCGCGAACTGGACAAGTTTACGCCTCGCTATGCACACACCTTTTTCTTCTTTTTCATACGCCTTGGATTATACTTATACTTGGTTTTATCAAATCGTATACAGCAAGTCAAGCAATAAGTTTTTTTTATTTTATTGATTTTATGATGTTATGTGAGAAAAATAAAGTAAAGTGGGACGACAAGCAAGTTTCGTATTAATTAACTGCTACGAAAACTCTACCCATTGACGCTAGAATGTATTTTTCATTTTTATATTTATTATTTTTTTTAGGTTATGCTGTTTTCGATATATTTATTTCAACTTTATTTGTCCATATTTAACTAAGAATTAAAAGCCAAAAAAGATAAATCCACGTCCTTTTCTTCTTAATGTAAAAATAAGCAAAGCAGGTGTTGAGTATAATCCCTCTTAAACTCACTAATTTTGTCATCTTCCACCCAAAACTTTGCATTAAAATATTTTTTTTATTTACCACACAGCCTTCCTGTAGAAAAAATGCATTAACATTCAACATCAAAGTTATTAGAATTTTTGAAGATAGCAGGCTTGCCTGAATGGGAAAGAGTCCAAACTGGCACAAGAGACACAAAACTTAACACTAAATACACAAAACATAAGAATATTTCCCTGCCACTGACAGTATTTTCCACTAAAGAAGAGAGAGGTTTCTTTAGGAAAATGGAACTGATGAAAACTCTCTCTTTCTTAGTTTGTTAAATATGTTGTCAGTGACAGTGAAATATACTGTTTGTGTATAATATAGTGTACAGGTTTGAGTCTCTTGTGCCAGTTTTGACTCTTTCCCATTCAGATAAGCCTGACATTCTCACCAAAAAATGTTAATAACTTGTATAGTAACAAATGTTAATTGAACTTTTATATACAGGAGGCTGTGTGGTAAATTTAAAAATTATTTAATACATGGTGTTTCCAAATTGTCTGGACATATTTTGTGGACTTGTTCCTTGGGCTGAGACAAACATAAAATGCCATATAAGTATAGTATAGTATAGTATGGGCTATGAATACAAACACCCTTTAAGAAGCAAAATGCTTAATGAGAATAGTCAGACTGGAATTTTGCTGCCAAAACAAGCTTCCCGTGGCCGCCGCTAGGATTGCTTAAACGCGGTGACCACGCTAATTCGTCTCTCTCTCTCTCTGATCCGATTCTTCGTCTAACTCTCTCTGACTTAGTTAGCTGAATTGTCCGAACGCTCGCGATAGTGGACCTAGCGGCTGCCGTGGGAACTATCAAAATTTTAATAGGACCTAGCTTAAGAGCAGTATGGTAGTCCTTTTAAATTGCATAACAGAATGTAGAAAAAACTGATAACTCGGTTGTTTGTCATCCGATTGTAACAAACAAGGTCTCATTTGATTTGGATTTAAATTATCTATATTTTTTATCATGCAAACAATCTTAATATTTAAGGGTTTAATGAAATTTGACATTAAAGACTTTAACACTAATACCAAAACCCTACCGAGGCTGACGCTAACCAAAACCCCGGTATGTGAGACCCCATTTCAAAATAATGGACCCAGCTTAGAAACACACAAACCGAAACTCTGGGCCTGTGAGACCCCGCTTTAAAATACACTAACGCTGGGCTTCTGAGCGGGCATGCTATGAACAGACAACCTGTCAAGGTCACAGCACCCACGCAAAATGAAAAAAAACAATATATCAACAGGTATGGGAGGAAAATAGGGGAAGGTATTGGGATAATGGAATTCCCCAAGTAAACAGTGTTGCCAACATGCGTTTGTGAAAATTCCCGTGGGCCTGTCAGACGGTCACTTTCGGTAAAAGTGTTAAATGGCCACCATATTAAAATGGCTGGAGATAATGGAACAAACATTTTTAAGCTGTTTTTACCTTCTAAACTACACATTTAGACCAATTTTGAAATTTCTATCTTGAGAAATACCTTAGATATAAAATTATCATAAATAAAAAAAATCACAAACAGACCGACGGACAAAAATCTAGGCATTTTAGACCCATACTTATATGGGATTTTATGTTTGTCTTAGCCCAAGGAACAAGTCCAAAAAATATGTCCAGACAATTTGGAAACATCTGTATGCTTGAAACAAAGTTTTTTAAGTTGATTATCATTAATGGATGGAAAAGTATTAGCCTACCTATAGAAAAAAGTATATTTCGTACCTAGGGCCGAAAATAACGAGCGAGAGCTGTAAAACCATTTCGGCCCGTCGTACGAACGCTATTTTTCACCACACTATACCCTATTACCACTATTCACCACAATAATAATTCACAATAACAGTCAACACAACTACAACTTTAAGGTTATGTGAAGAAGTTATTTGAGGAATCAGCAAAAATAGTAATAGATAGTTGCTAGGCAGCGGTGACAATAAAACAAGTATGTTACAATGCTATGGATACTGATTGTGTACTTAATATGCATTAAAGTAAACGAAGAGCTGATTTTTGGCCCTACGGATTTAAAACCTACTCGGTCCTCAAATAAGGAGAACAGCTGGCATAGACAGCAATACGTGACTTTCGGCCTCCAATAAACATATGTAAAACTGCTAAAATCATTGTAGTGTGGTGAAAAATTATGTACTTTTTTTGTTACTTGATTTTTTTTAAGGTAGCTTACCATTAAAAACAAAGTGCCACAAACCCTCATGTTTTCAAGAAAATGTCCCTATGTTGGGTTTTCAAAATGTGATAAAATTTCTTTCTGTAGGTACAAAATATCCTCCAAATTTTACAATAGTCAAAGATAGTAAATACACAAAAAATAACAAATGCAAGGAACTGGTAACAATATTAACTCCATAAAAGGTAAATAGTAGTTTTAAATAGCTATTTGTATAAAAAGGATACTATTGATTACCTTAATTTGATTGAAAATACTCAATGTATTTATAAAATAATTTTTTAACACCTGAAAAGCTCCAACACAAGAAGTGTAATTCATAATTATAATACACAACATTTCTTTTGAAAATTTCTTGTTGTTTCAACATTTAAAAAGTCAATAACTATTTTTCAAAAGCTAATAATATATAAAATAATTAAACAAAAACACACCTCACGACAGAGCTACATCACAGCCAATTGAAATACTTATTAACTATAGTAAAAGAGTCCTAGTACACAATTGCTTAGAGCTTAAAAATTGCAGCTTTCAACTTTCAAAACTTAGTACATAAACTGGCTTTAAGTACAAAACAACTACTAACTTGTTCCTGTAAAAAAAAGGTTCTAGCAAAGAGCATTCCTCTACAAGAGAGAGGTGTACATTTTTGATACCTAAACCTAAAACAATTAATTTTACTAACTTCCATAAATTTGGTAAAAGATACAAAACAATAGTGAATATGTAAAAAATAATTTTGTACTTCCAGAACTTTATTTAACGTAAACAATAACAATGACAATGAAATATAAATTAATTACGTGACTTATAAAAAATACAACTCAAGGAAAAGTACAAAAGGTGATACCTAAACTAAGGAAATTACAGCTATAAAAAAAAAATCCCTTAAACTTTTTACATAACAAAATTAAACATCGGATCAGACTACACATTTAAAACTAGAATTATTTATATAGTTACAGCTAGCTAACAATTAATTATGTACAGAATGTAAGAGGAACATATCGGTTTAGTGAGTGGGGTGGTGCTACGAGTGGTGAGTGGTGGCGGGGATGGTGGTGAAGCCGTTGGGGTAAGTGACGTAGCCACCTACATCGTCCAGTAAGTTGATGGGGTCTAGAGGTAGAGACAGACTCATCCTCTCCAACGTCCGCACCTCTTTGTCCACTTCCTCTAGAGCTCGCTCCAGCCCCTCTGTCTGTTCTCTTGTTGGTCCAAACTCTCCGTTTTTATCCTCTGCAAAAACAAATTAGAAAAACAATTTAGATTAGTCGTAGTTGTCATTATAAATGTTAGAACACTGTTTTAAAGCTACTTCAAAATGTGTTTTAATGGAAATTCAAATTTAATACAAAATGGAAAGTTGTCCAAAAAGTAACTGAAGTTTCGCATCAGTACTACTTGGGGCAGGTCTATTGCCGCCATCTTAGCATCACAGAGTTCTGACACTCAGTATGCATCCAACAACAGTAGCATGTGTGTGTATTGTATCTTTCATAGTTTGTCTGTTCTGCAGTGTTAAGATGAGCACTGCCATCACAAATCCCGCTAGTTGTGAGGATAAATCTTTTTTGACAAAAAATCACAACCAAATTGAAAAGGAAATTTTATGCCAGGTTTGTGACTTTTGAGTCAAATGAGTAATGAATTATGGCTGAGTGAGAGAGTGGTGCATTGACTTTAAAAAATTGTAAAATTTATGTTCATGATGAAGATTGCAGTAGTAGTAATCTAGTGACTGACGAACACAATTACAGAACTTGCTGAACATCTTATCGAATTTCACAGAGTTTGCTTGCTGAAATTTTTGTTTAAAAACTTGGTTACCACTTATTTTGTGACCAATGGGTTCCAAAGATCTCAAAGATCTCATGGGTTGATCACAAAAAGCAGGGACTACTGCAGCATTGGCATTCCTAGTGGACAACGAGAAAAAAAGAAACCAAGTTATCTACCGATCATACCATAACAGACGAGGAGACTTCCGGGTAAGTATTTTAACTGTTAAACTGACAGTTAATGGAATGGGGAAGCACAAGAGCATAAAGATAAGTGTCCACAAATTCTGAGTGCAAGAAAGGTCATGAATATTGGCTGTGTTTTGAGATGACAAAGAAGTGAGGGGGAACTTTCCATGAAGGTAGCCAAACAATAAACACAAGAGTGATTTGTGAAACATTACAAAACAATTATTAAGAAGTGAGATAAAAAAAAAATTAAAATAACTTTTGTTTTTCCAAAATAACGCTCGTCAACATACACACACAGAAAATTAACCCAGGGGGATTGGACATTCATTTTTGATCACCGCTGTGCTTTTCAGGCAACTAACATTTGTTCTTGGCGATGTTCTTGTTACATAACACTTCAATACCATTAATTCCATCCAGCATAAACCACTGGTTTAAGTCAAAGGCAACGGATTTCTACTGAGCGGGTATAGAAAAATGTGTGCAACGGTATGATATATTCCTCAATTTTAATTACGATTATGATAATAGTCTACTTTCAAATTGTATGTAGTAAAATTTGCTTTTTCACTTTGTTATTTTTTTTATTTAAAAACATATGTTATTTTCTGGTCAGCTTTCATATATCTCAAATGTGCATATGTTAGGCTTGAAAAAGAGATTCACTCACCTGCCATTTAACAATTGATTGAAGAAGTATATTAGGTACTTCTACAGTTTTTAATGAGGGAGAACTATTAGAACAGTAATTTACTTTCAAAACTAATACTTATTATATTACAAATTTATTTTAAATTATATTTATGCACTTCTTAATACAATAATGATAATTGAGTAATTAATACAATTCAGTTCAAATATAAAAAAAACTAAATATAAGATGATTGTCTATCTGTGAAAAAAAACTTGAATATCTTTTAAAAGGTAAGATATAACCAAATAACACTCTAACTAAGTTAAATGAACAGGTTTATTTATTTTACAGTTTATTTTGTATATACTTATGATTTACTAAAATTTTGCAACCTAGAAGTTGGCAATGAGAATGTCCTTAGATTGTCTTGTCCATATCCAAATCCATGAACGGAATTCCTGTACAAAAAACCATCCTGATCTTCTTTTATGCATAGAGTTTAAGAAAAAATAAACTGCTTTAGACTGTTCATTTTTCAATTATATCTAAACTAGGACATTGTTTGCACAGTTAATACTTTCCATGTCAAAACTTTTTTTGTCACAATATAAGTTGTCAGAACTATTAAACTAAATAATATTTCTGTGCTAGTAGTATGGTTTACCCTGTTCAGATATAGCTGGTGTAGGTTAAATATATCCTTAAAGCTTTCTTCCTAATTAAATAGGGCATTAATACAAATTAGAAATTGTAAACAAGTCTGAAAACTTAAATTACCTAGAAATATATCAGTAAAGGCGTCTGGAGGAATCTGGTTTAGCATGGAGGTAATATCGTGTTCTTCAAGAAGTCTGGAAGCCTGGTTTGCCAGTTCTGTGGGATCCAGAGATGCTATTGCCAAAACTTCATCTGACACCACTTCCACAGCATCTGTTGACCAATACAAACTTCAGCAAAAAATTTTTTTTGTCAAGAGGTCAAAATGAGAGAATACAGTTTTTGTGGTTGAGCTGGGTATTGAACCCGCCCCTCCCGCACTTAAGTCCAAGACACTAACCTCTAGGCTAGCAAAACACCAAAATCTTTCTCATACAGGGTCCAGCATAAAAAACTAGTAACGTGATGCGGACAGTAGAAGGAGCAGAGTGCTGGGGGGCGCGTCCTTGAATAGCTGCCTTCAAGCCGTTTTCAGTGTACGCTATGGTGTGGTCTGGTGAACATCGTGCGTTCGTAGTGGAAGATTTTATTCAAAACGGCGGATCGCCTATTAATACTCAACATGCTTTTTGTGTTCGCTATGCGCTCGGACGACAGGACCCTGTTACCGATAAGAAAACAATTTATTCTTGGGTTTTTAACTTTCGTAAACAGGTTCTGCATTAAAACGGAAACCACCTGGACGACCACAAGCCCTGGAAACATTGATGTAGTTAGAGCTACAGTTCAACAATCTCCTCGAGGATCCGCTAAAAAGCATGCGGCAGCATTACGGATTTCTGAACAACAAAGTTATTGTTCCCCAACAACGTAACAATGTGGATTGTGGAATATTTGTCTTAATATTCACTGACATACTCATCCAGCGAATAGCTCAAGGTAGAATACAAGAGTTAAAAGGTAGCCCTAAAAACTTCTGGCCGGATGTAAAGGAGAGTGATGTCTTAACCAAGCGGGCACAACTGGCTTTATTTCTCCACAATTGCAACTCTAATGCACTTAGTCCCAACACCGTAGCCGATATGATGTTCAAAGCACCCATTTCATCCACACCAATCGTTAATCCAACATCTTCCCCTACAACCACTTCTACTGAAGATATTTCATTTAACACAGTTACAAACAATAACCATAAAAATGTAGTTAATCATGAAATGCAAAGTGAGAAATGGGAGAAACCAAAAAAAATATATAAAACAAACCAACACTCCAAGACTCAAAATTTTGCAAACTTCACTACCAACAATAAATATGACACGTTGGAAATCAATGAAAGTTTAGACTCGGACAAAGGTGTTGTTCTTCAAAGCCCACAACAAAAGACACAAACCAATTTCAGAGGAGGGAAAACAAAAAGGTATTGGACTCATGAGAAGAAAGAAACAGATAAGACACTCTTTTAAAATAGAATTGTTTTCTGACAGCCATGGAAAAGAACTCCCTGAAATGATTAAACAGTGTAGCAGAAGTGCAGTTACAGTTTGTGGTCAAGTCATGTCCGGTGCTACAACTGAGAAGATTTATAACCAAGCAAACAGATCTCGACATCAGTCATTAGTAATAATTGCTGGAACACCTTTTTGGCAACGGTAAGACGTTATTTTGCACCACATAAAAAGTTAAAACTTATGGTGTCTAGTTTATTTCCATTCAAAAATTCGAGACTAATTCCAGACTTTTTCAGACTAATGCCAAATTTTTCAAAACTGGATTTTTCAACAATTAGTGATGTGTTGATACCAAAATGTAGCGATTCTCAATTCTTGATACTAATGCCAATTTTTATAATTTAGCCAAATTTTTGAATTCTACACCAAACCCTGTCTTTATGTCATAAAGTAATTAAATAATATGTAATGGGGTGTTTCAAGTAAAGAAAAAATGCAGCAATAAAAATTCAAACTAGCCAATTTGGATTTTTCTGATGATGAAAATCTTCCACGACCAAGTAGACATCATCATTAACTGCCTCGGATTTCATCATCACAGATCGCGATCGCGGCAAAATTATGATCATTTCCTGCGGCCGTGTAGACATCATCATTGACTCCCGCGGCCACGGAAACGTCATCGGCGTTGGCTGCGATGACCGCGGCAAAATTATGATCATTTCCTATTTCCTGCGGCCGTGTAGACATCATCATTGACTCCCGCGGCCACGGAAACGTAAACGGCCTTGTCTGCAATGATCACGGTAAAATTATCATCATTTCCCGCGGCCGTGTAGACATCATCATTGACTCCCGCGGCCACGGAAACGTCATCGGCGGCGTCTGCGATGATCGTGGCAAAATCATGAAAATTCCCGACTTTCATATCAAAATAAAGACTAAATCCCTACTTTTCAAGACAGATTTGAAATTCAATACTAATTCCCGACTTTCCCGTTTTTTCCGACTACTAGACACCATATAAAAAAATAATACATTTTGTTTACAAATATCAAACTTTGAGGTTCCTATTAATTTTTTTCTAATTAATTTTTCTAACTTAACCAATAAAAATGTGAATTCTGATTTCTGGGGGGGCTAAGCCCCCCCAAGCCCCCCCCTTTAGCCGCCACTGGTTATTGAAGAAATGGGGTAACACTACTTTATCTCTTACGCATCCGATGGGAGAGCATACAAGAGGTTTTAGCCCTTTGTTTTTAAAGTCTGTTGTCAAATCTTTGATAGCTGTTTTGTAGTCAGATATGTCCGGTTTACCAAAATAGTTGGCTTTTGTAACCAAACTGTAAACGGTAGCACAATGCGAAGTGGATTGCACTGCTAAATGTGATGAAATGCAGTGGTGCGATTCTGTCCTGCCAAAGTGTCGCCTAAAAACAACTGCCACTCCTGCTGTCATGTGGCGTGGATGGTTAAAATCAGCTGAAATACTGATACTGTAGTGTGCGAACCCTACAGATTGGTCATGCTTGTAATCTTTAACAACATCTAACATTGGTTTTTGAGTTAACTGCACTTTAGTTTGGTTTGAAGCTTTAGTCTGTTCTAGATACTTATAATGTATATATACATTCTTTGCATCAAGATACAAACACTGAGACATGGCCTTGCGATATAAATTATTTGTATCAAGATACAAACAATGAGACATCACCTTGCCATATAAATTCTTTGCATCAAGATACAAACACTGAGACATGGCCTTGCGATATAAATTATTTGTATCAAGATACAAACAATGAGACATCGCCTTGCCATATAAATTCTTTGCATCAAAATATAAACACTGAGACATGGCCTTGTCATATAAATGGTTTGCATCAAGATATAAGGTATACACTGAGACATGGCCATGCCATATACATTCTTTGCATCAAGATATAAACACTAAGACATGGCCTTGTCATATAAATTATTTGTATCATGATACAAACAATGAGACCGCCTTGCCATATAAATTGCATTAAGATATAAGGTATACACTGAGACATGGCCATGCCATATACATTCTTTGCATCAAGATACAAACAATGAGACATGGCCATGCTATATACATTCTTTGTATCAAGATACAAATAATGAGACATGGCCTTGACATATAAATTGTTTGCATCAAGATATAAGGTATATACTGAGAGACATAGCCTTGCAATATAAATTGCATCAACATACAAGGTTTACTCTGAGACATTGCGTTGCCATATAAATGGTTTGCATCAAGATATAAGGTACGGTATTCTTTTTTGTGAAGTTGAGTGGGCTGTGAATTTGAACTTCAGTTTTTATAACTGAACCAAGATTAATGACTTACAATATCACAATAGTGAATAGTTTACAATTCATATTGTAGTTTATTTATATACAAGTGAAAATTATGACTTCAACCTTAATATTTATTTATTAAGTACTTGAACGTCAAACTATCCAAATCCGAACCTCTAATTATCCAATCCGATCCGAACTGAACCTTAACTATCCGACCCGAATCCAATCCGAACTGAAATTTCACTGTCCGCACATCTCTAGATTTAAGCGTCTCCTTTTACCTCCTAACGTGACAAGTCTGCTCCAGCCCAAGAATCAGGGTGTAATTGAGTGCATAAAACGTCTTTACAGCCAACAGATGCTTGGTAAATTGCTCCAAGCTGAAGAGAACGATGAGGAACAAGTTTTGGATTCTTATAAAAAAATCAACTTCAAAGACTGTTGCTACATGGTTGCAGACTCCTGGAACATGGTTAAAAGTGTTTCACTTAAACAGGCTTGGAACAAAATAAACGGTACGTTGACAAAAGAGCAACTCAAGTTAGAAAAGCAAGCTAAAGATCGAGAACTAACTGCTGAAGCTGCTGGCTTTGATGAAGACGAACTGGAATTGCCGTCAGCTGGGGAGTTAGTAAACATGGCTAAGAAAATTGCGGGTTGTTCGGAGTGTGATGTCGATGATATGGAAGAGTGGTTGGAATGTGACAAGAACGATCAAGGATACCAGATAATGACAGATGATGAAATCGCAGTGAGTGTCATGGATGAACAGGAAAATGAAGATGAAAACAATGAGACCGTGGGAGATGAAGAGGCAGGAGACGAAAGTGTAATATCACATAGTGAGGACTTTATGTGCTTTGACAACGCTCTCAAATGGATGGAGCGGCAACCAGAGTGCGACGGTGTACAGCTTCTTGCCGTCCGGCGCCTGCGTGATCTAGCTGCGGGGAAACGAGCTACAAGGTCATGGCAACTTACGCTGATCGAGATGTACAAGTAAGCGTTGTTAAAGAACTTTTTTTTAAAGAATTTTATATAGTACTGTAGTTTTGTTTTTATAAATATCAGTATTTGCTCCTCTAAAAAATCCTCTAAATATCAGTATTTGGTAACAGATCTATTATGTCTTAGTTATCCACTCAATAAAGTTCATTCGTAGTGTAACACTTTGTTTTTCTTTATTACCATTCTGTGTCTGATTATCCAAATTTTTGATTATCCGAATCGACCCCAGTCCCAATTAATTTGGATAGTCGGCGTTTTACTGTAGAGAGTTGAAAGAAGAAATATACATGCCTCAACCAGAGGGTTTTGTAAAAAATGGCTCAGAAACAAAAGTTTGCAGACTAAACAAGGCCATATATGGTTTAAAGCAGGCATCGAAAGTCTGGAATGAAAAATGTGAAATTGTGTTGCAAGAAATGGGATTTACACAACTAGAGTTAGAACCGTGTATCTTTGCACTGTTTACAGGAGGCAAACTTGCTATTATGGCTT